CATTTGAAAATCTATGGCTTTGGATGAGGGAAATGTGCATGTTTGGATATGCACTGTTGCTTTTGGCATGGGGATCAATTGTAAAAAAGTAAGACGGGTGATCCATTTTGGCCCATCAAAATCAGTGGAATTGTATGTACAAGAGTGTGGAAGAGCTGGCAGAGATGGCCTCCCTACTTCAAGTGTACTACTGTACAACGGTCTGCTGAGTAGTCACTGTGATGCTGACATGAAGCAGTATCTACAAATTGAAGAGTGCCGCAGAAGATGGCTAATGGAAAAGTTTGGTTCCAAAGAAAGTTGTGGGAGTTCAGACCCAAATGTAAAGTCTCACGACTGTTGCGATATTTGTGCTGGTGGATGCAAATGTGGTAGTGAGAACTGTGGTGAGTTTTGGAGCTCCTGTAAAGACAGCCCTAGTCTGCCTAAGCTCTCGACAGGTCCTACTAGTGACTGTGACAGCCTTGAAATTGTGCGGACTGTAACACAAGACAGAGACACTTTAAGGAAGAAGCTTCTCGAATTCCAATGCGAAATGGCAACGCATGGTCAAGCAGACAAAATGGTTACATGTCTAACCTATCTTCTGGAATTCAATGCTTTTCATATCAACCAGGTCATTGAATGTTGTGAGAAGTTATTCTCTGTGGATAATGTTCTCACGTCCGTTGAAATATGGTGACATCACTATGCTAGAGGTGTTGTCAACATCACAGCTTTTACAAGAGGATGATCTCCTTGAAGATTCTATTGCATCTGACTGGGGTGAGATCAGAGATGATCCTGCCCTTGTCAGCATGCTAGATAGCCAGGACTTGGAGGACATGAGTTATTTCATGGACACTGACAATGACACTCGTAACTCTTTAAGCAATGTAAGTTTGGGTAACACTGGTGACTGACAGCTTTGGTAAACACACTGTTCAGCAATTAACTTTATTGTACTTATTTAAACATTGTTGTGTTGTTTTGAGTGTACTAAACCCTTTCACTCCTTGAATAAGTTATAGTGAGAATACTCGTCTCTTTAACATTTGAATCTGAGTTCAAAATGCTATTATGTCATCAGTCATAAGACCTCTTTGGGAGAGCTTTTGTACACTACTGTTAAAATTTGGAAATATTCTATTTTTTTTTTACCTTTGGCCACTTCAGGAATGAAAGGGTTGAGCTATATACATGAATACTGAGTTGGTACTCATTCATTAAGGAAAGTATAAGCTAACAGTCCTCAATGTAAGATCTGGATATTAGAAATTTTTTTAAAACTTGTGAAATAAAAGCAGTTTCTTTTCATAATCTGATCATTATTTAAACAGCTGCAAAAGTAACAAAATTTTACAGTTTGCTTTAGCATTTAGTACAAAAACATTTTTCAAACAGTTCTGCCGTGGCTTGTGTATCATTTCTCAAAAATCAAGTATGGAAAACATGCCCAATTTACAATCAGCAACAACAAATCTCCCTCTCCTCCACAAGGGCAAAAATAGCCCCTCTCTCATAACAATATTGGATATTGTATTTCAGAATTAACACTTTGCGCAATGTATATTATAAAAGGTCTTAAGCTCGAGTGGGGCTTCATTTCAGAAAACTGCATGAACTCTACAACATTAAAACTAGGGGTAGGGTAAAGGAAATGGCAGTAAGATATTTATTAGCTTTATGCAAAGGAAGGGAAATCTGAAATCTCATTTTGTGATGAATGTTTGAAAATAGCCCTTATTCCCCCAATTTCCCTAATATGCCCAAATGGCTGTGCAGGGGTATTATTTTTACACTATTTCTATCATCAGTTACTAAACTTGCTATATTGAGGACTAGGCATCAGATAACTGGCTTCTCATTTCTCCTGACATAAAAGAAACTGAGTTTATATCAATTTTTTGGCAATCTCAACGTGCCCTTTTATACAGAATCATGTGTTTCTTATGCTCATTTATCCATGTAAACATTTTCTGCAAGTTAAAACCACACAGTATACTGGGCTTCATCTTTGCATAGGAAGTGTACTTCCTCCCTGGTGTATAAGTGAAAGCTTTGTTCGTGACTAATTCATTCACAAGCTTTTCAGTGTCATTCTTTGTTGATCTCTGGATGTGCTTTCCTGATCTTCTGAGAGGTTGGACTCAAACAATTTCATCATTGCTGTTGTCACATCCAAAGAGTTACAAATCCTGTCCAATGACTTCTGGGAAGCCCTTGGGCCGAGCTTTTTGACAGCCTCTTTAATTGATTTGTTGAAGAACTCCAGAAGCAAATCTAAGGGAATGTTGCACCTTCCATACTTTGTTTTTACAACACGTTCCCAAACCAAGTGATGGGCTGCCTGTGGGCTCAGCAATGCATAAACCTGGAACATCAGATACAAAGCCTCTAAGGAGTACTTTGTAGCTGACCCACCCTGATGTTTCAGGTACATAAGGAAAAATTATCAGCAATGAAGGATGCACCCCCCATCCCCTTCTGAAATAGCATCTCAGAAATTAAAGATGAGTATACCATAGTCCAAAAGAGCTTTTGGGTAAGCAAACGTGTCATCTCTCTTATCCTCACTTGTCTCAGAGTCAATAGTAAGAAGGTTGGAAGAAGGGCCATGAATCACTACGGGGGATTGTGCCTTGCTCCATGATCTCTTCTTAATTTTCCATCATGAGCAAATGTTTTCATACTACCAGGTGATCGGCATGGGTATCTTCCTTCAGCATCAATTTCCTGCCCCTTAGCCTGCCGCTCATGTTCCAACAACTGCGCTGACTGGATGATTTTCCTGTTCCTTTCTTGGTCAATAACAAACTCGTCAACAACAAGGGTAGCTATTTTACGGAGTTAATGTTTTTTCTCCTGTTTGGTAGAGGCGTCTTCTTGATTCGGAAAAACATTTTTGGTTGGTTTCTCCTTGAGATCCAGACTAGTTAAACCCAGGAAATTTAAGGCAGCAGCAATAATTCTTGTTTCCCCTTCTAGTTGAAAAAAGCCTGCTTGCAAATGATAACTAAACTCTGATTAGTAACCAGAGTTTACTTTCGTCTGTGCGCAGGCTAAGCATTTAAAAGATGGCAGATATTTTTCCTCTTAGCCTTATGTTAGTTTACATAATTGATAATCATTGGCATGACAAAAAGTCCTTGCCGGCAAAACAACAAATATAAATTTTCTTTTTTGTTAAATTTAAAGAAGTATCATCTCAGTTAAAAAGCTGATTTTAAATTTATTTGAAATCCAAACTGTATGCTTACCTCCAGAAATTTGTTACCAGCATGCCAGTCAGCTACCTCGAAGTGCAGCCCTTCTAATCTGTCTTCTGGAGTGAATCCATTAGCAAGGGAAATGTGGCCATTCACTGCCTGCTCTATGCTTAGTTGGTCTCCCACAATGCCTTGTTCACCATATTGCCAATCATCGCCATCACCACCGTAGGGAACATAGTTGTGAAGGGTTCTCAAGATGTTTAAGAGCAACTGTCTGTAAATATCGACCAAAATCGACTTTTTGTGGCACAAGTTCAGAATTCGAATTTCGCTCATTTTTGGCTCATCGATAACCCTTAATGAGTAATGAAACATGCTGTAGCTTGTTTTCCCAAATAACGTGTTCTTTTGTTAAAATTTGAGAAAACTCATTTTGCCCGTTCAGAGCTCAAAATCCACTTCAGGTAAAACGAAATTTTACACACATTTCATTGACTCATACGTCAAACCACAGCGATATGTCCGCCTTTGAAGAACACAAATAGTTTTCGTGACTCTTTCTTTCTTATAAGACGATAAATTTGTGAAAGCTGTAAAAAGTTTGTGGCCAAAAAGGTATTGTTAAAAATAGGCCCTATTGACAATTTCACCGGTTCAAAATTATAGGGTTAAAATAATGTAAATTTTTACAATGCGCCATAACTTAGAATTTCGCAAATTGACTTTATATGGGTTAACTAGGCCCCAATCTATCAGAAAATCGAAACAAATCTCTGGGCAAACGATTTTAAGTACCCCGCAAGATGCTGAGTTCAACCCTAATTTTGCGAAAAATCGTGACATTCCAGTGGTTAAAAATAGCGTGACACACTCCATCATGCCAGCGGTGTTAACGACAGATTCACTTTCAACATTCTATTCAACACTGATCACATGCCAAATTCCAGCATACAATCTATATTATATATACATTGGAAGAAAACTCTCTGGCCCACTATAAACTAGCCTATTCCAGGCGTAGTGGACAGTGAATAGTGGATAGTAGACAGTGGCGCGAAATGGGGAACAGAGGAAAACAAACGTGGAAGAGAGTAAGGGGGAAAGAGTAGGAGGACCTTTCACCCTCTCTCCCTAACCCCGCCCCTTCGCCATTTTTTCTAGGCCACTTTTCTTTGCGTTTTCCTAACTACCTGAAGGCCTGTTACAGGTTAACTACCTCCTTTATTTACAAATTTTTATGGTATATACCGTATTTATTCGATTAACCGCCCTGGGCGCTCATTAAATTTTTGGACCTTGAGAGTGGGCGCTTATTCGAGGTGGATGCTTGTTAGAGGCTGGGCGCTTATTAAATTTTCGCCATTCTCAGCAAGTGTAGTATGTTTATTTTGCAACCAAAAAAATAAATGGTAATAATAAAAAGCGGAGATGTAACAAAGCAAGGTTTCTGTAAAATGCTCTGAAGAAAACCCCGTCTTTGGGAGGGTCTCTTATTATCTCTTATTTGAGTTTGTGTCGGGGGAAGTGTGGTGGGGGTGGGCACTTATTAAATTTTCTGCCTTTAGGATGGGCGCTTACTCGAGGTGGGCGCTAATTCGAGGTTGGGCGCTTATTCGAATAAATACGGTATTCAACTGGAGCGTCAAGCACTGTTGGCGCTTTGTTATTGATCAGCAGGAACAGATTTGGTAGTACCAACTTTTCAACTGCTTTTAGACTGCGATTTTTTTTTCTTTCTTGTTTCCTTTCTTTCATTTTTTCTTTGTCATTTTCTATCGTATTTTTTAGACTTATTTTTCGATTCTCTCCAGTCTCACTCACCTCCCCCCTCCCCCGCTGCGCCCCCTCTGCTCCAGACAAGAGGGAATGACCATTTTGTTTTGCTCCAGACCATTCCTTCGACTATTCTGCGTTCTTGGCTTACGCAAAAAGTACGGGCTGCTTTGTGGTCTGAAAGACTTTGCACTGATTGACGTTTAAGTGTCATGGAAACTCTAGCTGTAATACTGAACTACAGATGACGGGTTAAAAGACTGAAAGTTCCTTTCAACAGCGTTTGGAAAGAGAACATCGTCTTTTCCGCAAAAACAAATACATAAATAACAATAAAAATAGGGAAACAAAATAGAGTATAATGCTTAACCTAAAAAGAACTTTGTAACGAACGAATGGGAACACCTAAAAAGGAAAGACAGACTTGAGGACCTTCCTCATCCTCCGTAACCTTAGTCCATGAAACTTAGATGCCCAAGCAGGCCTCCAAAACCTTACCTTTGTCTTTATCACAAACCGAATAAGACTGAAAGCCTTAGTTTGCTTTACATTAGTACTGTGTAAATCTCCAGAAGAATTGTTTGCAGCCGGCCCTCAAAACTCGAAGAGACTTCGCCTACTACTGGTCAATATATAGGAAGGCTATTCTAAAGAACTGCTCCAGAAAAACTATTTTTCTTAACATTTGTCTGGAGTAGAGGAATAGCGAGTTTAACTAGACAGAGGAATTTTCTCTTTTTCAACGGTGATCAAGGCGGTCATATCATTAATAAATTCATCATAGGAAGGGAGAGAGCAGTTAAATTTCCAAACACCACTTCCATGAAAAGAAACATTAACCAGGGAAATAAATTAATCAACAAAATCGTGATCTGAGAGGGGGCAAGGAAAGCATTTATTCCCACAAACTGATTGAAGAAGAGAGGAAGAAATATAAAAGCGATCGAGGCGAGAAGCCTGAGAAAAATCCTTATTAGACCAACTAAAAGAAATCGCCTTCAGATTCTTCTTACAAAAAATGTCAACAAGACAGAAATCGGACCTAAGGGCCGACAAGCAACGCATGACCGCGTCAAAGTCCAATTTAATATTCAAGCGATGAAGGTCAGAATCAATACAATTAAAATCGCCACTTAAAATTAAATCCTCAGGCGACAGAACAAAGGTCTGAAGGCGATCGAAAAATAATCTATGTTCGTATGTGTCTCTTAATAAGTAATTAGAGATATTGCAACGATCTGCCCTTGCTACGATCTACTATGCACTTAACAAGGCCTCTCCAGGTACTTAAGATATATGACGCATAGTCTGCGATACAACTGCCTCTCATCGCTTTTTGACGAAATTTCCTAAGGGGCAGATAGCGATGAGAGGAACCTGTATAGCAGGCTTTTGGACACAAGGCTTTTCTACTATTTACATGGGTAAACCAGTCACTTCACGGTTTGGGCAAATGGTGAGGAGAATTCAGGACTGATTAATCTTGATTCCGTTCGGTAATCGCATTTACCATTGTCCTAAGTCAGTTTCGTTTAATGAAAAACGGCCATGAAAGCCTGAAACTAGTATTCAAAAAAGGTTTGAAGACATGAAATCCGAACTTCTGCCTGGAAGTTTCCAACCAGGAAAATAGGCGAATGCCTTCTCAGATGTTCCGTTTGTTTCAGGAATTTTCCACTGAAACGTCGAAAGCAACCCGAAATTGAGTTAATGGTAAGCCTGACAAAGTACCAAAGTGTTTGTTTTAATAGGTCAAAATGGCCGAAGGCAGTGAATAATTGCAGTATCCGGTAGCTGGTACGGAGCGTCATAAATGGTAAGAAAAACAGTGGAGCCATCTGCATCATTCGCAGCATGAGGCTTGCCGGTCAAGGAGAAAGAGCGCTGCTGGATAAATTTATCATGCAAATCAGCAGTGCAAAAAGTTACATATATTTCACCGGACGGTTTAAGCTGGAGGCAGCGAATATGATTTGTAATGAAACCATCGTTAAGTGCCTTCAACACCTCAGCAGCAGACACAAATTGGCTTGTTCGAAAAAAAGCCGAACATGGCCTATCAGGAGTGATATTTTCGACGTGGAAATTATCGCGCTCGAAGTTGGTGAGAAATCCATCATGTACATTATGCGGCGCTGTAGAACGGCAGAATTAACAGGAGCCTTGTCTACATGAAGAGAAACAAAATAATCCCGTTCAAGTCTAGAAACCTCATCCAAAAACTCCTCATTTTCAAAGCTTTCATCTGCAGAAACATCTTCATAAAGTTCAGCTGTATGCACAGAACCATCAATCAAACTCTCTTCTGAATTAATTTCGTCAGAAACAACAACCTAATCATCAGATCCTCAAGGGATCGCGGTGGCAAGCGGGTCATTGATATTCAGGATCCGTTCAGGCATGATGGCGAGAAAACATGGTTGAGAAAATTCAAGAGAAAAAACTTACCCACTCTCGCCGCCAGCCGAAAAAAAGCAAACTTCTAAATTTCTTCTTCAACAATCGCAACAAAATTCCTCCAAGATGAAAAATAGAGATCTAGCCAAAAGGCCAAGAAGTGATGCCCCTTTAGGTGCTCCAGACCTAGGATGGTTGGCTGCCTGCCCATCCTGGATATGGTACCATGATGCATCTGGCACTCTATGCGAGGACAGGGAGATATCATTGGCTGAGTCCGAGAACAGATACTTGGCCAAGCTCTTCAGGACAGTACAGTGTGTACAGACAGGGATCAAATAACGTCTAGATGGTACCGAGGCCCTAACAGCTCGGCCATTAACCTATAGGAGGACAGGGCACATGAAAACGAGGCAGACTGGTCAGGAGATATAGAATTTATCTAGGCGACTAGCGATAGAAAAATCAGAGTTAAACCAGGTGAATTCATGTGATCGACGATGTTGTTTATGCCAAACATCAGTTTGTTTAAGGGCCTTCTGAAGAAATTTGATGGCCGGCGATACTCACTGAGATTGTGGTTGATTTTTGTCTGGATTTTCGACTGCCGCCGCGGCTTTTTTAGCCTTTAGGTTTCGAGATTTAAGGGGGGACGGTGGGGGTTGTTTGCGCGAGCCCTCGCTTGGCTCGGCGAAAAGATCGCGAGAAACAGCCCCAAAATATAGGTCTGGCGCTGACGATAACATCTCGCTGCTAACGCTCTCGGAAATTTCATCATCAGAATCTTCTGCACAGGTCGTTTCCATCTGTGTTTCTTGCATGTCCTGGGAATTAGGGGGGTTAGGTGGGGCGGAGAGAACACGATCCTCCACGCGTATATGATTGAAACGTGGGCGCTGCTTCGGGCAGTTTTTAACCACATGTTCAGTCGATCCGCAACGGTAGCATGTAATCGGCTGGCCCGTATATTTAAAAAATATTTCGAGACCTTGGGTCACAACTTTCCTGGGTAGATCTCTGTCGAGTAAAGTAAATTCTGCGACGCAGATACCATGCTCGATAGATGTAAAACCTCCTCGGTATGACAGAGGCGGCGTAGATTTTCGGACTTTAACTGTCCATACTGCTTTAGAAAATTTACAATGTCTTGGTCGGGGTATTCCACAGCGACAAACACTGAAACGTGGATGGTTCTCGCACCAAGTAATTTCAACGGCTTTCTTTCAGCCCCATGGTCGAAGCCAGTTGTGGCCAAGCGTGTTGCAGCGTCGGTAGAGCGGAGCGTGATATAGAAGCATTTGTGCCCGAAATTGGGGACAATGCCGGTGATTTCCGCCTTGAAATCGGGAAGAGACCTCACAATTTCGATTGCGTTTATATCCATGCCTTCTTCGACAATCAGTCGCACAATTTTTCTGTGCGTGAAGGTTGCGCGGGGTCGCGCAGCCATTGCGCAAAGCATGTGTCAGGCGGTGTAAGATAAATCCGCTCGAAAGACAAAAAATATACCAAAAGCGACAAAGCAAACCTCACAAACAGAATATCCGCAGCGAGACGAAGCGAAAAAGTCCAAAAACAGGGCGATCCAAGTGCGGGAAAAGGAACTGTTCACGTTTTCAGCAGAGACACCGAAAATGTCACCGATAAGAACAGATGGATGTTATAAAAGTTTAATGAAAAATCAACAGAACCTATTTATAAGATCACTAAAACTAATCACTAATGACTATTTACTGGCAGGATTACAATCAGTCTCAAAAAGGACAGGTGATAATGAGCATTAAGAAGCTATTTACAAAACATTACGGGAAGACTATAATCAACTTATCACCCACAACCTGACAATGGCCAGGGAAAACCCTTCGAAAATAGAACAGGGTACTGGACATAGACACGAAATCACAAGGAAGACGAAACTTAACATCCTGTAAAATGTACTTACTAATCGCTCGGTGGTCATCGTGTCCTCCTGTAGAAAGTGGCTCGATTTCGAAATTTCCACATTGCATAAACAATTGTGTGAATTAAATAAATAAGGACATCCTTATGTTTCAAACAAGGAGTCGTAAACTCTAAAAAGAAAACAGAAGGCATGTTACTCACGAGTGGGAGGGTGGTGGCCTTTTACGCGAGGTCTTGCTTGGCTCTGAGAAGAGATTGCGAGATACAACTCCGGAATACAGCCCAGGCGTTGGAGAAAGAGTCTCGCTCGGTGTACGATCTTCACGGGTTTTCGGGTCATAAAGGAGGTAAGGAGGGGAAGAAAAAAGACCAGACTAATTTAGCTGGATTACAGTGCAGGAAACAATGGTCAATTGTTTCCCTGTGTGGGAAACTGTGTGCATAAGTTTTGTTTGCTCCGGACCTGTTTGGTGAAGCGCCTTCTTTAAGAACTTGATAGCTGGTGTTTCGCATCGGGGTTTCGCGGCTGTTGCTGGTTTGCCGTTTGAAGCTGCGGCCTTTTTAGGCTCCGGGTTTCCCGACTTTTCGGGGGAGGGTGGTGGCTTTTTACGCGAGGTCTTGCTTGGCTCTGAGAAGAGATTGCGAGATACAACTCCGGAATACAGCGCGGGCGTTGAAGAAAGAGTCTCGCTCGGTGTACGATCTTCATCGTCAGAGTCCTGAGTGCTGGGAGTAATGGTTTCACTTTCCAGTTGAGCCTCCTTGCTGTCCGGGGGGTTCGGCAGGCCAGGCAAAACACGATCTTCCACACGAAGGTGCCCGATACGCGAGCGTTGTTTCGGACAGTTTTTAACTACGTGGTCGGCCGTTCCGCAGCGGTAACAAGTGATCGGCTGACCGGTGTATTTAGAAAATATTTCCAAACCTTGGGTGACGACCTCCTGAGGCAGATCTTTCGCGAGTGATAAATTCCGCGACGTAGATACCGCGCTCAATAGAAGTGAACCCCTCTTCAGTGTAGCAGAGGCGCCGGAGATGTTCGGACCTCAGCTGTCCATACTGTTTTAAAAATTTGACAATCTCTTGATCGGGAAATTCCACGGCAACGAACACCGAGACGTGGATAGTTTTCGCCCCAAGTAAATTTAGGGGTTTCCTTTCGGCTCCATAATCAAAGCCAGACGTGGCCAAGCGTGTGGCAGCTCGGTTGTGCGTAATGTTATATCAAAACATTTGCCCCCCAAAATTGGGGACAATGCCCGTGATTTCCTCCTGGAACTCAGGTAAAGACCAAACAATTTCGATCGCGGTTAACTCCATCTCCTCCTCCATGATGAGACGGACAGTTTTTGTGTGCGTGAAGGTTGCGCGGGGTCGCGCAGCCATTGCGCAGAGCACGTGTTGGTACAGTGAAGAAAAAATTCACTCCAGCGAAGAAAATGGCATGCAAAACAACACTACAAACCTCACAGAATGAAACTCCAGGCCAAAAGGGAAAGAACAAGACCAATACGAAAGCAATCCAAGCACTAACGAAAACGAGAGCGATAAGAACAGATACTACACTTGATCTTTGGAGTTTACGTCGTTGGTTCCAACATGGATTATAATATTCTCAGGATCTTTTCTTAGGATGGGTTTGATAAAGTCTTCCATGTCCTAAGTTGTTGCGCCAGGAAATGGCTTTACGACTACCTTGTTGGTTTTAGAAAGGCTCCAACCACGGATGTTTTGGATGATTGAATCTCCTGCTATTACGGTTACAGGCTTTCTTGTCTGTGCATTGTTTCCAGGACCAGACTGCAGTTCTTTTTCGTTCTTTTCCGGATTTCTTTCCCTAGGCCAGGTAAAACCCATCTGGAATAAAACAAGGTACGAGACAGAGACACAAAATCACAATGAATACGGAACTTAGCATCTTGTAAAACATACTTAATGATTGCTCGGTGATCATCGTGACCGTTATAGAAGGTAGCCCGATTCCTAAATTTCCAAATTGCATAGACTATTGTTTGCACTAAATGATAAGGACATTTTTATAGTTCGAAGAGGGAGTCAAAAACAAAAAAAAAAAAAACAAAAGGCAAATTATTTATAAAAACACGGGGGGGGGGGGGCATGAAGAAGGTAAGAAGGGGAAGAAAACAAGACCAGACTAGTTTAACTCGCTTACAATGCAGGAAACAGTGATTAATTGTTTCACTACAGGGGCAACTAGCAAAAACACGGGGGGGGGGGGGCATGAAGAAGGTAAGAAGGGGAAGAAAACAAGACCAGACTAGTTTAACTCGCTTACAATGCAGGAAACAGTGATTAATTGTTTCCCTACAGGGGCAACTAGCGCAAACGGGGCACTTGATGTACCCCCACTGACACAAACTATCATGCACTTTAACAGCCTTCAGTGAAATAAACCAAAAGAGGTCGTTCTTAAAATTTTCGGCAAAAGAGCCCCACACAAGCTCCCAATGCGACTTTATTAAAAAGGAAGCAGGAGCCAGACTCTTCCAATGATGATGGAAAGGAGGAGCAGACGAAGAGACCTTCCTCAGCTCCTCATAGAGGGACTTAGAGGAAAAAATAAAATCACTAGGAACACAAAGGGAATCAGCAACAGCGAGACACTCAGAATAAAAACTAGAAGGAAAAAATGCGTTTTGACAGCGGTTGTCCCGCAAAAAAGCTCACTCAGGGCACGAGCGGGACAGCCTACTGCCGCAGAAATACCTAGCGGGGTAAAAACACGCAGACGACGGGTCATCCAAAACACGAAGCAAACTGGCCAAGCGTAAAGCTTTAGCCTTCACAGAAAAATTAACTAAACCAAGCCTGCTGTCCCTAGCATGGCAGAAAACAGTATGGCGGCTAACAGTCTCAATCTGAGAGCCCCAAAAGAAAGACCAATTTAGCTTATTTAAACGATCGATGACTCATCAGGGTAGAACTAGAACTTTTGAGACTTAGACTAACTTACTGATACCTACCATTTTGATTATTAAAGATTTGCCAACTAAAGATAAGGAACGCGACTTCCAAAGATTAAGTGATTTCTCAAGCCTAACAAGACGTGGTTCCCAATCATCTACGGATACATCAGTTAAACCCGAACCAAAAACAACACCAAAAATCTTCACTTGAGCTACCCAGGTCAGCCCGAGGGGCTGATCTGGGCAACCTCTCCATTAGCCAAGCCACATTGCCTCATTGCTCATATAAACAAATCTGCTGAAAGAGAGCGTCAAGTGAGCGTGTATCTTTAACAAAACTCGTTGTATCATCCATGTACTGTCCAACTTTAAACTTGCGGCCTTGAGCACCAGGCAATGAAAAACCAACTATATCGGAAGAATCTCTAATTTTGCACGCTAAGACTGCAACAGAGAGGATGTAAAGCATGGGTGACAGAGTCACCTTGCCAAACACCTCCACACAAACTAATTCTATCTGAAAGGTAACCGTTAACAATAATACGTATAACTACACCAGTATATAACGTCGCAATCCATTGACAGAAACCAGGGCCAAAGCCAAGGTGGTCTAATAACTTAAGAAGAAATAAACGATCAACTCTATCAAATGCTTTCTCTTGATCTAAACTGACCAGGATACCAGTCTCATTAGTTCGGGAAACATAGCTGAGAGTATCAAGAAGGAGGGTTAGATTTGAAACAGTTGATTGACCGGGAACAGAACACGTTTGGTCTGTACTAGTAACCAAGCCTAAAACTTTAGACAAACGCAGACACACTGCTTTAGAACAAATTTTATAATCGACATTTAACAGAAATAGGGCGCCAATTTTTAAGACACTTACGGTCACCTTTCTTAAAAATTAAACGAGTTGCACTCTTTCATAGAGTCAGGTAAATCACCTCTGCTGTAACAAACATTGAAAACCCAAACTAATATAGGGGCTAAACGAGCCCAAAAAGTTGAATAAAGCCCAACACAGAGGCCATCAGGGCTGGGGGACTTGTTATGCACCATATGTTTATGAGACGTAGTTAATTCATGTAAAGTGATATCGCCCTCGCATGATTTACATTCATCGGGCGAGAGACGAACATGCACGTGAGATAATAAATCATCAAGAACTTGATCATCAATTTCTTCACAGGAAAAAGGTCGGGAGTAAAAATGTACGTGAGCACGAGAGATGTCTGCCTGAGAGAAAACTTCAACACGGTCAGCGTTATTAACAGATTCAATTGAGCATTTAGAGACACGTTCCTGTTCAAGCGGAAAAAATACTGCGAAGGTACTTTGCCCAGTTCTAGCCACTGGGCTCTACTTCGGATCTGAAAACCTTCCATTTCTTACATATAGGTTGCGTTCAAGTCAGTTTCAGAACAGAAATTTGCAGATTTGAGAGAGGAATTACCAGCAACAATAGCAGCTTTTAAGCGAATTAATTTATTCGTTAATAGCCCTCGATCATACGCGCGATCATGGGAGATAGTACGAGAAAATTCAACTTAATTTGTTTAAGGTCCTGTTTTAAAGCCTCCCAGAAATCAACTACTGACGGACAAGTATGCTCAAACAGAAAAAGTATCGATAGCCGAAAGGATTTTCTGACTAAAGATTTCATTAGAAAGCGAAGAATTATTTAATTTACAAATTCCAGGGCCGTGCTGTACAAAAGATGAGAGGTCAACAACAAGAGAAACAAATTCATGATCAGAAAATGTGCAGGGACTAATTTCACAGCTTTGAATATGTTCATGAAGAGTTCTAGAGGTCAAGAAAGTGTCTAAACGGCTAGCAATAGAAAGATCGGAATTGAACCAAGTAAACTGAGACACACACGGATTTTTAAACCGCCACGCATCGATTCAACTGAGATTCAATTTAAGATTTGCAAATTCAGAGGTTAGAACGGGGTTACCACCAAACTTATCACGCACGTTCTCATAACAATTAAAATCACCACAAACAATGAGACTGGCACGAGTGAAAAAAAATGTATGTAGAGACCGCAGAAAACAAGTTCTCTGTGCCGGCTGAGTAGGTGCATAAACACATACAATATTCAAATTAACATCACTATGATTAATTACAAGACTTATAACTCAGCCATCCGTGTCCCTTTTCCAAGAAACGTGACCATCAAATCACTTGGAAATAAACAACGAAACACCCGCACTTTTCCCACTCACGGGAACAGAAAACAGGGCCAGACCAATAAGAGGTTAAAGCCTTAAAAGAGTTCTCATCAGATATAAAAGTTTCCTCAACAGCAAGGAAATCAACAGAGCTAGTACGGGCAAAATCAAAAATCAAAGTCACGTTTGTGGGCATTAAAACCATGCAAATTGATGGTCACTAACTTGAAAATAGGTTAATAATAAATCAACATAGGTGTTAATACTATGACTTTTTGGAAGTAACTATAGAAGGCCGGGTAGCCTTTCTGACCGGGGGGCCAGAGTGCAACATTTTACCTCTGTGAGGAAGATGAACTTCAACCCTCATCTTCACATTCTTGCGTGTCTTCTTGAAAGCTGCCGCATCTTCAGTAATAGAAGGTTCTGCGGTTGTAGACTCTGTCTCAGTATCCTCACCCGAGCACTCTGAGTCACCGTCATTGGCGGTAGAAAAATCAGCATCCTGGCCCTCATCAATAGACAAGAACGAGTCTGCTACAACTTCACCCGCGATAGGGGTTTTAGGAAGCACTAAACCATGGGAGCCAAGAACGTGCACCTCAGCAGAAGACAGCGTAGGAGAAGATAGATAGGCATTAGTGGTGGAACAAACACCAGTCATAGAGTCCTCCAGTGATGAACCCGGGGGGGGCAGGATCCCCAGGAGGAGGGGGTCATCACAGGGACGGCTTCCTTAAGAAGTTCGGCCGGGGCGTCCTGAGATATGATTTTGTGTAGTTCGACCCACATGTTGAGTTCTTTGTCATTAAGGTTGCAGTGAGCGGGGCTGTGTAAATCCAAATCTTCCAGATTTCCAAAGCGGTATGGAAGGTATAAAAAACGGCATTGGTAATATTGCGGGCTAGGAATGCTGGTCATCAATTTCTTCCGTTCTGGACCAGCTTGTTTGGCAGCTGTAAAACGAAATTTGAAGGCAGGGTCGCAGTTAGCGGTTGCAGAAGAAGCATGTTGTTGTTTGGGTTTAGGATTGTCTGATTTCGCCGGTGACAACGGGGGCCGTTTCCTTGATTAAGCAGGTGTTGAAGAGGTCACCCGAAGAAAGGGAAGGTGAAAGGTCTTCGCTCGGGTCTGAGACTTGCGCGTAGCTCAGAGGCTGTGACTGAAGTTTCCATATTTGTTTCCTCAGTGTCGTGGTCCATTTCCTCGGTAGTGTTTTCTTCTGTTGCCGTGGTTGGTATAGGGGGTCTAGGGATGGCTCCCCCCCCCCAGAGGCTTCAAGGCATTTAGTAACTGTAGGTCTTGCACTATGCTGTTTATCGCAATTTTGAACAACGTGCTCGGTGGAATTGCACCGATAACACGTAAGCGGTTGTCCAGTGTATGTAAAATTAATTTCGACTCCTTGAGTCACTATTCTGTGGGGTAAATCCCTGTTAATTTTGACGAATTCAGCCACGGAGATCCCACGCTCAATATGAGAAAACCCTTCCTCCTAAAAGTAAAGGCGGCGAAGGTTTTCAGTTTTTAGCTCACTGTATTGCTTTAAAAGGTCGACGACCACGTCTGGGAATTCAGCCCGAACAAACCAAGAGACGTGGATCACTCTTTTGCCGAGAAGGCGCAGGGGTTTTTGGAGGTCTCCATAATCAAAGCCCCTTGTGGCCAGTCTTGCTGTGACCTTGTGGTCGCGCAAAGTAATATCGATACATTTCCCTCCGAAGAGGGGCACAAGGCCACTGATATCGGCTTGAAAATGCGTTAGTGAGGCGATAACTTAGAGAGAATCAATTCGCATGTCATTCTCAATTATAGGGCGCACAGTTCTTTTGTGGGCAAAGACGCGGCGAGGAGGACTCGCGACCATCTTGCAAAACACGTGTCGCAAGAACAAAAAATGGCAAAAAACACAGCAAACGGAAAATAACTCTCAAAGTAGAAATCCACGGACAAAAACCAACCACAAGTGAAGCGATCCAGGCATATGGGAAGGGAATAATCACGTTTTTGGCGGAGAAACCAAATGCGTGACCGATGAGAACAGATTTTTTTTTAAAATTTCTATTTCAATACCGTCTTTCATATTATTTGACATATAAATAAGAGCAGTGTCCTGTTTACATTATTCATATACCATGCCAGGTTTAGGAATGAATTTTCTTTTTTTTTTCTTAGTACGCCTGAACAACGTACTATATTTTCTGTAAAAAAAAAAGACAGGCCATAATCTATATTTATTGAAGAGTTGGATTCCGAGCTCATTTGTTTGAGAAATGCAGAACTCTTGGCCATACAGTGGCCATAGACCATGTCCGTAATTGGCGTATCGAGGTATTTATAAGGCCTATTACAAAGGCAGCAAACGTAGAAGTACTAAGCGTACTAACGTGATTAGGGTAAATTTAACTACCAACATACATAGAAACATGGCAGTACTAAGACCGAATAAAAGACCATCATACATAGAAACATGGCCATACTAAGCATACTAACGTACTAAGACTGAATAAAATACCAACATACATAGGACATGGCAGTACTAAGCGTACTAACGTACCAAGACCAAATAAAATACAGATATGCATAGAACACGGCCGTACTAAGCGTACTAACGTACTAAGACTGAATAAAATACAGATATGCATAGAACACGGCCGTACTAAGCGTACTAACGTACTAAGACTGAATAAAATACCAACATCCAGAACATCGCCGTACTAAGCGTACTAACGTACTAAGACTGAATAAAATACCAACATACATAGAACATGGCCGTACTAAGCGTACTAACGTACTAAGACCGAAAAAAATAGCAACATACATAGAACACGGCCGTACTAAGCGTACTAACGTACTAAGACTGAAAAAAATACCAACATACT